CCCCCGGCCAAACCTCATGTGGTCATAGGTGGGGCTTTTCAGAGGTGGCTGGATCTAGAGTGTGTGATGCTGGGATCAAGGACGTGATGCTAGGATTCAGGCTGCCCACCCTGGGTGTGAGCGATACCTGTCCTAAGGGTGGGTAGCCTGGATAGAAGGATCAAAAAGAGAGTTGTCGCTTGCTGCCTTCTGCCTGCCATGAATTATTTCTTCTCTGAGATGTCCTCCTGCCATGCCACCCTGCCTTGGAGTCAGCTGATTATGGACTCAAACCTCTACAAACTGTGAGTCCAAATAAACCTTTCTTTCTTTAACTTTGAATGTGGGGTATTTTGTCTCAGCAATGAGCAAAGTAACTAAGATAATGGGAAAAAAGTCCTGTGGCTATGAAAGGCCAATGGGAGGGATAATTGTGATGGAAATGTTCTATACCTCCATGTTAGTAAATGTCTATTTCCTAGGTGTGATATTTTACTAAAGTAAAATAGCAAAATTACCCTTTGGGAAAATTGAATAAAAGGTATAAAAGATTGCTGTGTTATCATTTCTTACAATTACATGTGGATCCACAATGGTTTCAAAATAAAACTTAAAAAAAAAAAAGTAAATCTTTATCTCATACCATAAAAGAGAATAAATTTGAAAGCCATTAGCTGGTATCCCTTCCTACTTTTTTTTCAGTACCGGGGATTAAACTCAGGGCCTTGTGCTTGCAAGGCAGGTGGCAATAACACTGAGCTAAATCCCCGGCCCCCTTTCTACTTTTAAACTTCACAAATAAATTATATTTTGAAATTTTTATTTTACTTTACATTAAAAAATATATACATAAGCTACAATAATACTAAAATAGTATGGGGTAGATAAGACAAATTAATGGAACAGAGAAGACCACCCTGCACAAAAATGTAGTGTCTGATAAAAGAACTGTCTCCTTCTACCTTGTCAATTCACTCTCCACTCCATGGAGGAGGCACTCCTCGGTGTCTTGGAGGAACTGGAATTCCAATCTTGCTATCAGCGAAATCTGGCCAACCATGCAGAAATCAGAGCGTGGAGTCTGAGTAGGTGCTGCTCATTCGTCCTTGCTGGCCATAGTTCCTGGTGCAGCTCCACACTCTAGCAGCTGGTCTTGCTGGGTTCTACTAACTACTAATTCACCTTGTCTCTTCAAAGTTAAGAGTAGCAGTAGTTCTGAATGTCACTAACTATGGGATCCTTCACCATCCCTTGCTTCTTTCCCTTGATTTTGCCCACACCTTTATAAAAGTCTCTTCTTTAAACTTCCATTAATTATCCTTGAATGTGTCATCTACTTCAGGCCAGGACCCTACGTTTCTGCCAACAGGCAAAATCTGTAATGCTAGACTAGGAAACACTAAGGCTCACTGTATATTTAGAAATGTACAGGCAGAGTGGTGGGGATTTGGAAGTGACTCAAAAGCTATGTAGCAGTCAGATCTGATGGTGTTCACCTGTAATCCCAGCACTCTGGAAGGCTGAGGAAGGAGGATCGTAAATTTGAGCCTAGCCTGGGTAATTTAGCAACTCAGCCAGGACCATGTCTCAAAATAAAAAGAAAAAGGGCTGGGGATGTAGCTTAGTGCGAAGGCTCTAGGTCCCATGCCCAAAACAAAACACAAAAAAGCTGAACACAGGGCCGGGGATTTAGCTCAGTGGTTCCGACACCCGCCTTGCAAGCGAAAGGACCCAAGTTCGATCCCCAGTACCAAAAAAAAAAGTAAAAAAGCTGAACACTGAAGGCTAAGTGAGTTCTAGAGCTGGCAACCTCTGTACATACATCACATCAATTCCAAGAGGGCAACATGCCCTCAGGCCAACAGAAGCTTCCCATGTGGAACTCTCCTAGATTCTCCTAGTTAATTGTAGCCTGTTATTTTTTTCCTATGATAAACTACAATGGTGAGTATAAGAGGCTTCACTGGGTTCTGGGAGATTTTCTAAGTGTATTATTAAACTCGAGGTAGTTTTAGGAAACCTCTGAACTGGCAGTTGGTGTGCAGAATGAGTGTAGTTTCCTGTGGAGTCTTTATCTAACTTTCCAGTTGTACCCTAATTCCTTGCAGCTGGGGTCAGAAACCTTGGGCAGACTTGGGAGGCTGAAGACTGTCCCCTTAACTTCATGGTTTGGCTAATTCCAGGTCCAAGCACACAAAGACTAAGTAAATATAAATTTAGCTTAATTTGTTAAATTGGTGTATGTTCTCAAATTTGTGTTTATTTAATGTAAATCCTCCCACTCACCTGAGGATCCACCAGCCACCCGTGATACAAAGGAATGTCGAGCAGGTCAAACACTACACATTCCGGCGTGTACTCAAACACTCGGACGCCAGTAAACTTCACGTTCACGTCCAGGCCTGTTTGCAGTTTGTGCAGAATTGCCATGGCATCACTCATGTTCTGAAGACAAAGGGGGAAGGGTCAGCTCAGGAAATCAAGATAGGTCCAACTGAAGAAGCCAGGTGTGGTGGCATGATCCTACAGTCTCAGCTCCTCAGAAGCTGAGGTGGGGGATGGCTTGAGCCTGAGAGCTTAAACTAAAATGTTATCCAGTTTACTCATCTCTTCAACTGATTTTTATCATTAAGTATCTATGTGCCAGTCATCCGAGTCCCAGAGATATAACAGTGAATAAAACAAAGTTTTTGTTCTTACATAACTGGGAGAAAACTGTAAACATATAATGTTAATTATTATTAAGAAAAATTGAGCAGAATGAGGTTGCATAGAGTGGTAGAGATAAAAGACTGAGAACTCTGAAGCGAAAATTTTCTAATGCCAAAGAGGAAGGCCTCTCCCACTTCTGGGTGTATATCCAAAATAACAGAAAGACAGGTCTTGAAAAGATACTTGTAAAACCACATTCATTACATTATGCAAAGTAGTCAAGAAGTGGCTATTCAGGTGTGCCTGCAATACCAGCACTCAGAGGCTGAGGCAGGCAGATCGGATTACAAGTTCAAGACCAGCTGGATCTACATGGTAAAACCCTGCTGGGGTCAGGGGAGGAAATGGAAGTGGTACAAATGCCCACTGAGATATGAATAGACAGAGCAAATGTATGCGCATACAATAGAATATTACTCAACATTAAAAAAGAGAAATCTAATTTTAGTATATGTGCTGCTAAAGTGACCACAAAAAAGAGAAATCCTATTGCATACTACAATATGAACCTTGAGGATGGAACACTAAGTGAAATATATTAGTCAGAGAAGCACAAATACATCATGCTTCCAGTTTTCTGGGCTATCCAGAGCAGTCAAAATCACAAAAAGAGAAAGTAGAAAGTGGTAGTGTCCATAGGCCTGAGAGGAGTAAGAGATAGGGAAGAGCTGTTTGATGGGTATAAAATTTTATTTTACAACATGAAGAAGGTCTAGAGCTCTGTTACATGACACCACGAATATAGTTAACACTAGGAAATGGCACAATTAAAATTGATTAAGAGAGCTAGGTGTAGTGGTACATGCCTATAATCCCAGCACTCTGGGAAGCTGAGGCAGGAGGACTCCAAGTGAGCCTAGCCTGGGCAGCTTAGTGAGATTCTACCCCAAAATAAAAAATAAAAGGGGCTGGAGATATAACTCAGTATGAAGGCTTTAGGTTCAATCCCCAGTACAAAACAAACAAACGAATAAAGATTAAGCAGACAGGTGTGGAGGCACATGCCTATCATGCCAGGTACTTGGGAGTCTCAGACAGGAGGATCACAGATTTAAGGCCAGCCTGGGAAATTTAGCAAGACTCTGTCTCTAAATAAAAAATAAAAGGGTGGGCACAGAGCTCAGTGGTAAAAGTGCTCTTGTCTTCAATCTCCAGTTAGGGGAAAAAAATTAGTAGGAAATATTTCATATTATGTGATTTTTACAATTTAAAAAATAGAAATGAGCTATCAAGCCATGAAAAACATGGAGGAAGCTAAGAGAACTAAAGCTGCATGCTGTATAATTCCAAACAGAGATAATAAAGAAAGATGAGTGGTGGCTAGAGATTAGGGAGAGGTGGGGCTAAGTAGGCCAAGTACAGGGGATCTGGGGGTAGTGAAAGTACTCAGTGTGATGTGGCTGATACCTGTCATAATACATTTATCTGTAAGATGTACAACAGCAAGAACGAACCCTAACGCAAACTATGGACTTTGGATGACAATGATGTGTCAGCGCAGGCTGGCACCATCTGGGACATCTCCTGTCTGATGTGGAAGGTCAATAGCTGGGGAGGCTGCAACTGTGGGGAGAACAGACATACAGAATTCTCTGCACCTTCCACACTTGATTTTGCAGTGAATTCACTGAACCTAAAACAGCTGAAGGAAGGAAGGAAGGGGTAGAAGGACCAGGGGGAGGGGAGGAGAGCGTGAGAAAGCACGAAAGAGGGGCAGGGGGAGAAAGATGGAGCTTTGCTTGCTTTCTCCCAGCTCCAATAATTTTGAGCCTTGTGATACTCATATTAGAGAGCAGGATCTCTAAAGAATATGCCAAGTGGGCTGGGGATTTAGCTCAGTGGTTCTGCCACCTGCCTCGAAAGCACTAGGACCCAAGTTCAATCCCTGATACAAGGGAAAAAAAAAAAAGGGCCGGGGATGTAGCTCAGTGGTTTCACCAAGTGCTGCGCAAGCGGCAAGGACCCAAGTTCGATCCCCGGTACCAAGAAAAACCAAAACAAACAAACAAACAACAAAAAGAATATGCCAAGAAATGTGGAAACATCACAACTATAGCCCAGCAGAATTTGTCCTAATCATGTAGCAGAGACATCATTTCCTCAACTTTCTCCTAGATACAACTTGCACGTTGGTAATGTAGCTAAGTAATACAGAGCATGCCTAGTATGAGCAGATTCAAATCAGTACCACAAAAAACCCCTGAAAAATGTAATTTACATTAACAAAGATGAATCAAAGACAAATTTATTTGAAAGTCAGTTTTTCAAGAAAAATACTAAGTTGTCATTCAATACAGATCTATAGAACGGTATCTACTCATACATATTATCCTATATAGCATAAGTATTCACAGAAAACAGGAATTCAAAAAGTTTGACTTGTGCTGGGTGTGGTGGAGCATGCACACCTGTTATCCCAGTACAGGGGAGGCTGAGCCAGGAGGATTGCCAGGAGTTCAAATTCAGGGACCGCCTGGATTACAGAGCAAGACCTTGTCTCAAAAAAAAAAAGTTTGGCCTTTAAACCCAACTGCCTGTAAATTGAGAATGTTTTTCAAGTTTGCAAAGGGCTGTTAAAAAAAAAAAAGTAACAGAGACTAATCGCATTGACCTGCAAAGACTAAAGTATTTACTACTTAGTCCTTTATAGAAAAGTTTTAGCAGGGTGTGGTGGCCCAGCTCTTAGGGGAGGCTGCAGCAGGAGGATCAACTGTTTTGAGTTCTAGACCAGCCTGGGCTACATAGTGAGTTCAAGGCCAGTATGAAGTACACAGCAAGACCCCCTTCCCTCCCAGAGAGGAAGAAGTTTTTAAGCCACTGATAGAGAAAAATGTATGCATTCATTAACACAACACTTACTTATTTTAATGCAATAAAAATTGTATTTATTACCTGTTCATAATTTAAACGCTGAATTTCTGAAATTTCTTTTGGCTTTGCATCAAGCATGTAATCACCTGTAAAAAAAAATTGTGAAATTGCTTTTTAAATGTTATTTTTTTCTGCTTGTAATAGATTTTAATTATAAATTTTTAAACACTGTAGCAACAAGTGACATAGAAAACTGACCCCTCAATTCTACCCAGAGAAAATCCAAGTTTCTTTGTTTAACCTTTTTTTGGTACGGGGATTGAACTCAGGTCCTTGCTCTTGCAAGACAGGTGGCAGAACCACTGAGCTAAATCTCCAGCCCCCAAGAAAATCAAAGTTAACTATTTGCTGATAACAGCTCACATGTTACTTCCATGCACACACTATAATGCTTTTGAATTCTACCTTTCATTTACAATATATGTGAACATCTTCTGTCACTACACATGAAGCTCCTAAAGGTTGTACCAACTTGTAGTGCTATTAATGTAACTATTGCTCAATTATCTCCCATCAATGGTATTATCATTATTCTAAAAGTGTGCAGTTCTGAAAAATCAAAATGTTTTTGCCTTTAAAAAACTGATAATTTAGCCTGGTATGGTGCTGCACACCTGTAATCCCAGCACTTTGGGAGGCTGAGACAGGAGGTCTGTGAGTTAAGAGCCTGGCCTATGCAACTTAGCAAGAAAAACCCAGTCAAAACAAAAAATAAGAAGGGCTGCAGATATAGCTCAGTTATATAGAGCACCCCTGGGTTCAGTCCCAAGTTCTGAAGAAAAACAAAAAGAAAAGCCTCATTTTTTGAAGGGGTGAGGGGCGGATTGAGACAGGGTCTTGCTCTGTAGCTCAGGCTGGTCTTGAATTCACTATGTAGCCCCACGCTGGCCTCGAACTCACAGTGACCCTCCTGCCTCAGCCTCCCCAGTGCTAGAACTGCAGGTGTGCACCACCATGCCTGGCTCTGATTTTTTACTATCTGTATTTTGTTTGGCATCACCTTTTGGAAGGGGTTCTTGGGGATCAAATCCAAGGACCTATGAAGGCTAGGGAAGTGCTCTACTACAGAGCCACAGTCCGCCTCTGGTATCACTCTGTAGATAAACAACCTTTTTTTTGGTACCGGGGATTGAACTCAGGTCCTTGTGCTTGCATAGCAGGCGGCAAAACCACTGAGCTAAATCCCTGGCCCAAACAACCTTTTCATGTGTGTACAACTTTTATTTTTTTTTGGTACCGGGGATCGAATTCGGGTCCTTACGCTTGCACGGCAGGCAGCGAAACCACTGAGCTAAATCCCTGGCCCCCTTGTGTACAACTTTTAAAAAACATGGAGCACCTTTAAAAAATACACAGCACCTTTTTGATAGATAGTCTTTTTTAATACCTTTCTTTTACAGTTCTGATTACTGGACTCAGGGGCTTGAGCATGCTAAGCACATTCTCTTTTTTTTTTTGTACCAGAGATTGAACTCGGGACCTTGTGCTTGAGAGGCAGGAGGCTGAACCACTGAGCTAAGTCCCTGGCCCTCCTTTTTCTTCTTCTCCTTCTTCCCAGTACTGTGAAATGAATCCATGGCCTCTACATCCATTACATACATACAGGGCTGGGGATTTAGCTCAGTGGTTCCACCACCTGCCTCCAAAGTGCAAGGACCCGAGTTCAATGCCTGGTACAAAAAAAAAAAAAAAGAGTAACATTACATACATACATACATTTAGTTTTCTTTTTTCTGTTTTTGGGAGAGTCTAAACCACTATATTGCCCAGACTAAGCTCAAACTTGTGATTTTCTTGCCGCACTAAGAGCACTGGAATTACTAGGTGTGTCAACACATCCACCTTATGCTGAGGGTTTTGTTGTGTTTTGTTTTTTGTTTTTGAGACAGGTTCTCACTATGTACCCCAGCCTGGGCTCAAACTTGTGACAATCCTCCTGCCTCAGCCTCCCTAGTGCTGGGATTAAAGGTGTGCGCCACCATGCCTAGCAAGAAAGGTTTTGTGGATACAAGAATAGCTTAGCTAAGGTAGTAAGCAAACTCTTCAGATAGACCTCAATGACCTTAATCCCCCCCGCCCCGATATTCATACCTTTAAAATATGGTGAATGTCTAAATAAAAAAAGGGATTACATTAAGACACACTGCCATTAATGCCTCTCAAAATACTGCCCTCATTTCAAACACACTTATTTCATCCTTCTTGCTATTTTTTTTTTTTTTTGGTACCGGGGATCAAACTCGGGTCCTTGCGCTT